TAGCATGGGCCAAACAAATTGTAATGGTTTTCTGATAATTACTTCATGAGTTGTTATTCTTAATCAGATTTTAGTGTATTATAAATGTTTTATTACTGAAAAAAGTAAAAATATGCGACAACTCTTGTTGACTGCCAGGGCGATTGGGCTGCTGTGGGCGTATGTTTCGTTGCCTGGCAAGCTATCTTTTCTTTACAGTTTTGCCTTTGATTTGCAGAATGAAATGAAGTTTTATTTTTAAAATCCTGTAAAACTTGGAAATTAAAATTATTTCTTTAAGTTAGTATGCCGCGCGCACGATCTTGCTTTTGTTGGGTGAAAAAGCAAGAATTCCAGCAGATTCGCAGTAGTCAGATTTCAAGGAAACCTCACTAACCACTCTTCTGTGTAACCACAAAAGACAAAAAAAAAGAATCCCAACGAGAATAAGAACTCAAGCAAAGTCAAAACATAAAGAATCATAACTAATTGTGTACATTCAAGTGTTTCTTCTTTAAATCTGAAATTACAAAAAGTTTACAAAACTGACAAATTTGATAGTACCGGGTAATAGGAAAAAAGAAGACGAGATAAAGGCGTAGAAAACGAAATTCCTAATTTTCAATATGCTTCTTAGGAATTCATTTTACTTGTCTTCAGTGAAAATAAAAGAGAGGATTGACGTACTTAGACTCTGTAGATTGTTAGTTATCAAAGGTTAAGATTGTTAACCATTACGACAAATATTCTATTGATAAACCACCAAAGGAAGTTAGTTGCATGTTGGGTAAGGTTGAACGCTGTCTGTCATGGATCATGAACGAGAACAGGTCGTAAACATGGAAGCCAAAACGGAAAACGGGCACGCTACAGTAATAAAATCAAACTGTGATACAGAAATTCACGTGATGATAAGCGTCTGGTTACCCTTCAGAGACTTTTTTACACTCTTAATGGACCGGAACTAGATAAGGTACGACATACTTGTTCAAATCAACGATAAAATCAACTCTTTTTTATCATCTACAAAAAAGTTTTTAATATAAAAGCATTCCTGATTCTAGCCTCTGCGTATTAAACACGACTTCATATTTCTGGCCGTTTTGATTGATGGCCCAAGATTCACTGCTCGACGAAAAGTGGTGCTCACATCCGGTTTTGTTTATCTTTAAGATTTGTATAAAACGAAACAGATTACACGAGACAGTCTGTTTGTGTTGTGATTGTTATCAGGTTACTTATCAACAAAATGATAAGCATGAATTGTTTGTAAGAAAAAATTAAAGATAGGCCATAACATATTACACGCTACCATTAAATATTTTTTTATGCTTCCAGATTTTTAACTGAAATGAAGATTGATGTTTTGTTGTGGGTTATTGGCCTCTTAACCATCCGGCGACGAAAAATGTTTTTTTCTTTCACATTAACGATCCCTTCAGAGTCCAGGTTAGGAAAGTTCAAGGGGTGGCATAAATTTCTGTCGTATTAGAGTGCTGATCATGACTTTGACTTCTGGAACCGTTAAATTTATACAGATATATGCCTATTCAAATATATCTATAACGATATATGCCAAAAGAGTCATTCGTTTGCATAAACATGCGTGTTCGCTGTTCGAGTATTTTGAGATAAATAGAAATAAATGCGTGCTCTAGTATTTTGTGACAATAATATATTAAATGTTTGTTCTAGTATTTTGAGATAATAAGTATTATATGTGTGGCTAGTATTTGAAATAATTAGTATGAAATGCATGTGCTAGTATTTTGAAATAATAAGTATTAAATGCGTGTCTAGTATTTGAGATAATTAGTATTAAATGTGTGTGCTAGTGATTTTAGATAACTAGTATTAAATACGTGTTCTAGTAGTTTGTGATAATTAATATTAAATAATTGTTCTAGTATTTTGAGATAATTAGTATTAAATGCGTGTTCTAGTATTTTGAGATAATTAATATTAAATGTTTGTTCTAGTATATTGAGATAATTAGTATTAAATGCGTGTTCTAGTATTTTGAGATAATTTAGTAATAAATGTTTGTTCTAGTGTTTGGTATAATAGTATTAAATGTGTGCTCTAGTGTTTTTAGATAACTGGTATTAAATACCTGTTGTAATATTTGGGATAACTATTACTAAATCTGAAGAAATAAATACAGAAACATACTACTGGACAACGTTCGGGAATGAATTACTCGTAAAGTTGGTATAATTTAATATAGCAAGATGTGACATGTACAGATAAGCTAGACAATAGAAACATGGTATGATAATTATAACCAATGTCGAAATAATCTGCCAACGTCATTTCCTGCTTATATTTTAATTATTAAATTTCAATATGATGGCGGAATTGTCTTTATAAATTCTTTATAAAACGAAATAATCAGGGAAATTACCCCTTTCGTTTAATACATTATGGACTAGAATTTCTGCTATACACTATCTGAATCCGCCGAAAATTATTTCCGTTTCTGGTCGTTTAAAACAAAAATCTTCTTTTAGGGTGTTAGCCTATGGTTACTAAACAAATATAACACTACACGCGAATCGTTTTATTTAGATTTCATTAATATCAGATGAATATTTACTTTCTCCTTAACAAACGTCACAATTACTTAAGAAAATGGTTTAAATGGAATCACATGTTATAGACATTTTCTATGTATATGTTATTCATTTAGTTAGCGCTTTACATGAGATCAACGGGTTCTTACAAAACATACCCGGGTTCCAAATTAATCAAATGAAACGGAAAGCGAAAATACATATTTTGACATTTGTAAATATTAAAAGTGTTTAGAATTCTTGCGCAAAGGAAACGGGCGCTTAGGTCATTCGGGGTCCATAATACTTTAATCCTTTAATTGGTTAAAGTTGGCCAAACTGGATAATATTGTGTCAATTTTATTTGAGTTAATTCGGTAGACGCGTGCTACAGGTGCGATTTTAAGTGGTACCAGGTTGAAGTAAGGGTATGTGCCAGTACAGTACTTTACTGGATGTATACTTAATTTGTGTACTGCATCATACCAATGTACGAAAATAATTGTCATCGTTAGTCTGTAATGTTTTTATGATATATTTCTTTTAAAAATTCGATTTAAAAAAGAGACTTGAAGTTTTAAGATAACCAAGAACGGTATTTAAAAACGGAGATCTGGTTCTAGTTTAATTTTACACACTCAACAAATATATAATAAAACCAATCATATATAGACATTGTTTTCACGATCAGCCAGAATCATGCCCTAACCCTAGAATGTATATTCTAAATCTTTCAAACGATTAACCCTAACCCTATCCCTAATCTGAAACTAACCCTAACCCTATTCCTATAAAGCCAAATTATTATATATTATTTATTAGGATGGTAGCAAATTTACTAATTCATCAAGAAGTAAGAAAACCTTGGTAGTCTATTCTAAATCTTTCAAACGATTAACCCTAACCCTAATCTAAATCTAACCCTAACCATATAATTATATATTATTTATTAGGGTGGTAGCAAATTTATTAATTCATTGAGAAGTAAGAAAACGTTTGTAGTCAGTATATTTTAACGTATTTAGTGGAGGCCTGTTTATTTACTAATTTTAGTTTCTTTTTGACTTAAACCGTCACTAGTGGAACACTAAATCAATAAGTTATCGTTCAGGTGTCGATAGAATATTACTAAGAAACAAAGATGGTGGCGTTAAAATCAAAAGAAATTATTGTGTTAGAATTGGTCGATTTTAATCATTTTTGGACCAATATGCGTTATGTGAAGATTATTGTTTGTGCGTTCTATGTATTATTTATTCGAATTTTATTCTGGAAATTTATCCCTTTAACAACCACGAAACTAAAGCTATTTTAAAAAATTGAAGAATTACAGTGTCATGAATTTCAAATTAAAAACAATGATTTCAACAATCGAACAAATTTATAATAATTTCCAAAACTTTTCACTAAAATGAAATATACCGAAAACTCAATCTCAGGCGGACAGGACAATTAAACATTGAACCTTGTTCTAATTGATAAACGTAATAAATGTAGGATAAACGTAATAAATCTTCGTTGGGTCGTGATAGCGCAAGTTTTCTCATGCACATTTCAACACTCTTATAAGATAAAAAAAATCTTTAAAATTTCCATCCAATTTTTTTACGATTTCCTTCAGTGGAATGAAATGAAATGGGGTTTAACGTCCTACTTTTCTGCACCGACCGGATGGGAATACGTCATACAGTGTACTTAGGGAATTTTTCCTCTAAACCGGCATTTCCGATCACTCTTCATCGAATATGCACCCGATCCGCCTATTATTAGCCTGCTAGTAGTAGAGAGTTGTTAGTCATTTTTAGATGCTCGTAGCAGCGCTAAGGGTGCCTCTGCGCCTCTGGGGGTAAATTGTTAGCCGCTACAGTGACAACTAACAAGGGCAGCCTTTGTTATCTACTATAGTAGCAACTAACAAGGGCCGTATAGTTTTTATTTTCCTAATAAATAAATCGAGACTTGGAAAACTAACTTTATTCCCATTTTCTGGTTATTGACGAAATGTGGACTTATTTAATAAACAACTAAATTACTCATATTTTACTGCGGCCAAAATATTTATGAATAATACTAAAATAGGGATTAAAGATGAGATTTTGTGTAGATAATCAAGGCCCTATCCTATTTATAGGAGGAAACTGTGCGCTGTATGCATATATATTATTATTTAATGAACTTTCTTTTCAGAGGTCCCTATATTCTAATTTCGACAATTATAACATATACACTGTACATTGCATAAACTTCTCTCGAACAGTTCTGAGTCGCTTTTTGATCCACCATTTTATAATTTGCTCCCTTTACTATAGGAGTATTCTTCCCGTCTTAATGGATGTTTTGGTACATTAAAATCTGATCTTATCTATTATCTATTCCAATCGTATTTCTGACTATAGCAGTAACGATTTGTAGGCCTACTAATTTAATAAAAATAAAAAAAACCCACGTAATTTGTCCTTTCGTTTTAAATGTATCGAACGTTAAATTGTTATTCGTAATATCTCTTTTCAATGCTAAAGTATGAAAACATTTGTTAGCTATGTAAATTCATCAAATCAAAAGTTCTAGAAAGATTTGGAATATTCTGATTCTGTAACAAATGTAAATTTATATTTCGGTCATTTTTGAAAATAGTGAGTTACTAGGGATTCGTCGTGGCCTAGATTCCGATTTGACTTTTAATGGAGGTATAACCGTGGCTGTAACAGGGACTTTCTTCTTGTCAAAATTTTATATCGAATGCAGCTAAGTCAATTTATTATGTCACACAATTAATTATTATCTTTAATCCAGTCAAAAACTGGAACTATTTTGCGATATGGTTCCATTTCGAGCGGTGATCTGGTTATGCGACGCGTTTACCCGAATAATTCGCTTTCAGAATCTGATTATTCTGTTACCAATTTAATAATATAATTTAAAAAAAACAAAACTGTTTAGGATTATCTTATTTACGGAAGAGAACGTGTAATGGGTCGAATGTCTCGTCAATACAATATCAGACATTCTGAGATTAATTTGTTTTTATCGTTAGATAAATTTATCGTCTCAAGGAATGAGGCCGAAAGTTTTGAAACTGAATCAATCGGGTTGACTGAAAAAAAAAAACAAAAAAAAAACCCGAAGCATGTCGCCACGGCCATGGCATCATTATATCTAACCTTTTATGCTTTTATGAAGTCAAAGAACACGTTGATTTGTTTCGCGACCTATACATAGGCCTACAGTATTTGTTTAAAGACCCAAACGGTAAGTATTTCATATAGTTTATTAATAATTAAATTTTTCTATACATAGCCTACTAGATCTACTTCCTCTCACAGCCAAATGTGTATAGAACCAAAACTTTGAACTTAAAAGGCCAGGCAAATTTTCTGATTTCATGTAACAATGCGTTGTTATTTATTGTTACTGTTATTAGGGCCTATTATATTAGTTATTTCTTATTATAAGGGCCTGTGTTGAAGAAATTCCCTTACTGAAAAAGAAGACAATGATGCAAAATTAGATATCATTTTTCGATTTTTACAAAATAGATTGAATGTGAAAACAGGACGAAAGCAAAAAGATAGGCAACGTATGACATATTAAATTATTGCGGCTTTAGTTTTAGTCTACTTTTAGACACTTTAGTCTTACTGAGCTGGAAGGAATTAACAGTGTGACCTGCTCTAGTAGTCAATCAGTTGTTTTGTTTCGTAACGGTCACTCACGGACAAAGTCTTCTGTCAATTCCTGTCCGTCCTTATTATTATTAAGCCACAATATGAAAATACAACTCTTTTAGCCATTACCACAGTCTCTGTCTAAGGCTATTTTGGAGTCTTTTCCTTCTATTTTCACTGTATTTCTTTGTTTGCCAAAAGGAATCATTTTCCACAACATTTGATAATAGGCTATATATTGATAATAATCTATCACCATTTTCAAGTGTTTTGAATCACAAAATTCTATTTAAAAAAAGCAAAAAATTTGATTATTATTATTTATGTACAGTTCTATGGATTGCAATTACCAGTGCTGCTTATTACTGAGCGATGTTTCGAGTAGGGAAGCCCAGTCGAAACATCGCTCAGTAATAAGCAGTAATTGTATTCCAGAGAATTGTGACCTGTATATTCCAGTTCAATTACTAAATGCGATTGAAACAATTCAGTATTTTCTTATTGAAGCTTTCCATTTGGACTGACAGGAATGGTCAAAGAATTTTGTCTGCGAGATACAGTTCTGACAGGAATTAGTCATTCAGATGGTACGATAAACAAGTTCCCCTGTACACGGCATGCACATACCGGTAACTAAAAGAACCTTTTACAGTTTGAAATTGAAATAAGAGTAGGCGGGCAAACCAAAATTTCTTTATACATGTACTAGTACACTGCATGTCAGATATCGGTTTCATTATTCTCTGGTGTGGTTACCCCATGTCAGTGGTGCAGGACAGGGGCCTGACCAGGACAGCTGTCTAGTCATTTGGATGGGACAAAAAACAAGGTCACATGTTCACATTGGCGTGCACGTAAAAGATGCCGTGGCAGTTGGAATTGGATATATAACTTGTAAGAGTAGGTCGTAGTGCAGCTGTCCGGGCAAAATTTCACTCATATCATGTGCTCATCTTCATTAACCCAGGCGGAAAAGAACAGTAGGACATTAAACCCAATTTCATTTCATCTCCGTCTTCCATAGCTCGAATAATCCCATTTGGAATTTAATTCCCCAAACAACCTTCAATTGTTGTTTTCTACATTCTACACTAGTGGGATTAGTTGCAGAAAGTATGACAATAAACACCCCATTTCATTTCTTTAGTATAAATTGTCATGTAATTTTGTCCATGCTATCAGTCTATCTATCCATTTCATATAGTTTACGTTTGTGCCTTTTTAGAAATGAAATGAAATGAAATGAAATGGAGTTTAACGTCCTACTGTTCTACTCCAAACTGGGCTAATGAAGACAGGCATATGCCATACAGTGTGCTATGAGGGGAGATTTTGCCTGGACAGTGGCGCTACGGCCTACTCTTATATTGAATTCCAACTGTCAAGTGATCTTTAACGTGCACGTCAATGTGTACATGGGACCTCAGGTTTTTGTACCATCCGAACGACTAGACAGCTGTCCTTGTCAGGCCCTCCATCCTGCTTCACTGACAAGGGGAAACATGGACTGGTAACAATGAGTGAACGAAGGGAGGAGGGTGGCTGGTACATAAGTTTACCTTACATATAAAAAAGAAAAACAGTCCATGGACCTAATAACTATTCCTAAGCACATGTGTATGTCATTAGTAAGGGAAAGTGAGGTAATGTTAAATATTATGTTAATTTTGGAAATTTAATTTGTAAACAAATTAATCGCCACCCAGATTCTTTCCATAGAAAAAGCTAAGCTTATTATTACTGCACCAAGTTATTAGTAAAGGTTAGATTATCTGTACAAATTTACCAGCACACAAAGACTCTCCTTTTATATTATAGTGCGTTCAGACGTTGACATTGAACTGGATTGAATATCGTCTGAACACAAAGGTGGGACCAAATAAACCAGTTTAACAACCCCACCTGTAGCCGTCTTAAAATCTCTGGCTCCAGCTTGCTTTGGGCATGCACAGTACCGTAAACTATAGCCTGTTCCTGGCAAAATGACGACATGTGCAACAGCATTCGGTCTTAAATACCCTGCAATTTTGAACTAGTTTGAATATAAGCTTCTGAATAGGCTACCAGAAGGAAATAAACATTTTAAACCCACTTACTTTACAATTTTCTCAAGCTAAAAATAAATTGGGGGGTTAAACTGACCAGAAATAGAACAGACAGATCCAGTTTGTGGCGATTTACAACGTACAAGGACATTGATGCATCTCAGAATAGTTTCTGTAAACTATAGGCCTAAACATGCACAAGGCCTCCAATCTAATTCTGAATTGGCCTTTTGTGTAGTGAAGTGAAGGTTAACCAATGCGGTATTTTTAACTATGTTAGTGTACATGTACATGGCAGTAGCTAAATAATTTTTCACATTATGTTTTATTTATATTTTTTAGAAGTTGATTTGGAGAAAAATAAAGCTCCTTAAGCAGAGAAAAGACACAAGAATGTATTGATGTTGGATGTTTAAGTTGAAAAAATCAAACTAAAGACTTCAGCAGAAGTGAAATGATCCCAAAAAGAACTTAAGGGGGGAATATGTTTCAAGTAATTTCTTTATACTTTCTAATTATGTGCCTTCATTTCAACTTACATATACATTATGTAAGATTTAGATAGAGAGCTAGCCATTCTTGCTATAATAGTTCGAAAATAGATAATGTAAAATGAATAATATTGAAAATTTCATTCAAATTGCTTTATTGCCAGCGAAGATATTAGAATTTGAAGTTTTGAAAAGACGTGTGCAATAATTGCATCGACCGTACTGGTTGTTCAAAGCTAAGTCTCGCTCCTCCTTTTTAAGATTAAATCAAAATATGGCTGAACTGTTCTAATCTAGCTAATATCAGAGAAATCAGATGACATCAAGAGATGATTAGTTAAACTTACATTATGCAAGAGCTAAATCTGCCTATTGCAGGTCTTTCTTTAGCCTGAAAAGTTATCTAAATTATTAATAAGATATTAATAAACTGATCCAGACCATAATCAACTCTTGATGCCATGGGATGTCTCCGATATTAAATAGATTAGAACGGTTCAGCCGTATTTCGATTTAATTTAGAATTGGAGTATCAAGGCTTAGCTTAAGTAAAGTGGTTGCAATTAATGCACACATCTTGTCAAACTTCAAAGGATCATATCTTCATTCGCAATAGAGTAATTTACAGGAAATTTCAATTTATTCATTTTACATCATCTATTTTCAAACTGTTATAGCAATAATGGCTAGCTCTTTATCTAAATCTTACATAATGTATTTTTAATTAATGTCTAATTAATAATTTAGAAAACATTTCAGGCCTAAAGAAAGACTTGCAATAGGCAGATTTAGCTCATGCATAATGTATGTTTAATGGTTGTTACTGTACAATATACTTCATAAACACCCTACAGGTCAGAATTTCTGTAAGGGTTTGGCTAGTTCGAAGAGTCACCCAACCATCACTTTGTTAACGTTCACTGTGTATTATTTTGTGAATCTTGTATTGTGAACTCTCTAAAAAAAATTATTGTCCCCCGCCTTTCGAAGAAAGCAGGGAACTATTAAAATGGGTTCGTTTGTCTGTCTGTCTGTCCGTCAGTTTGTCTGTCCGTCACACTTTTTGGGACACAATAACTCTCTTTCTAATTGAGGTAGAATATTCAAACTTGGTGACAGTGTAGGTGTTTATTAGGTCAATACCTAATAAAGATGAGTGCAAAGATGAGCATTTTCTGCTTAGGTTAAGTAGAGATAAGCAAATTGATTGAGTGATGAAGCTTGATGTATAATTTCATTACATCAATACCTTGACTATGTTCGATAATGAGCATTTTCTGCTCAGGGTAAGCAGAGCGATAAGCTATTTGATTGGCAGAGATTTTAGAACACAATAACTCTCCTTCTAATTGAGCTATAATGTTCAAACTTCTTGTAGATGTTTATTAGGTCAATGCCTTGATGGAGTTCGAAGATGAGCACTTTCTGCCTAGGGTAAGCAGAGATAAGCAATTTGATTGGTTGATGCTTTGGGACACGATAACTTTAGTTCTAATTAAGTGAGAGTGATGAAACTTGGTGTATAGTTTCATTACATCAATACCTTGACTAAGTTCGATAATGAGCATGTTCGGGGTAAGCAGAGCGATAAGCAATTTGATTGGTCGAGACTTTGGAACACAATACCTATCATTTTAATTGAGTTAGAATGTTCACACTTGCCGTAGGTGTTTAGAAGATGAGAATCTTCTACTTAGGGTAAGCAGAGATAAGCAATTTGATTGGTTGATGCTTTGGGACACGATAACTTTAGTTCTAATTATGTGAGAGCGATGAAACTCCTAATATATTAATCCAATAAACTGAAATCAAGGCCTGAAATGTATTACTAGATTGTAAAAATGGATAAGTACTGCAAAGTTTAAGCAGTACCTTGTTACAGGAGTATTTCCGGCTGCATGAACGGTCATGTCCTCTGTATTCACTTCACCTGTGTTGTCATTTTTAGATTTAATGGCATTTATATTAATATTGGAGCCCTGGAGAAGACCATCCTGGTTGATTTTCAGGTGATCTATATTGGTATTATAATTCATGTGATCATATAATGTGATGGGTTGTGTACTGTATGTAACATAAATTATCTGATCAAATATATCATTGTAGGGAATAATGAAATCTAGAGAAGAATACCAGAAGAAAAATGGTACAGGAGAAATTTCAAGATCTAGATTGGTAAAATGCTTTCTAGATGGAGCTTAGTAAATGCATTTCAAGATTGAGCTTATTAAAAATTGAATTCTAGAAATAGAAACCTTTGATTACCGTGCACCACAAGCTTTTGCTTACGATAATGTCGAATCATTTTGGTGTTGCAGAAATTGCAAAAGAGTGGATGGCGTCATATCTACAAAACAGGAGTTTTCGTGTAAAAGTTAAGAATGATTTCTCCGATGTAAAACATGTAAATTTTTCAGTTCCACAAGGTAGCATCAATGGTCCGATCTACTTTATTTGCTATACCAGTACACTAGCATCCTGCATCAGACACAATCAAACATTAGTTGGCTACGCCGATGACCACAGCTTGTATGACAGTTTTAAAGCCGGAGATCTTGATGCAGAATCTCATATTGCTTCCCGCGTATCAGAGTCCTTAGACGATGTTAAAATCTGGATGCTGCATAATCGACTAAAGATGAACGACGAAAAAACTGAGGTTATTATCTTCGGTGGTAGCCGTTAGCTCCACAAGTCTACCATCCACGAATTAAGAGTTGGGGATTCTGTAGTTGGGTCTTCATCCCGTGTTAAATTCCTGGGGATGCATTTGGACGAAAACTTAAACTTAAAGAGTCATTTTGCCCAGAAGACTTGTTGTGCTGCTTCGGCAATGTTCAACTTGCGGAAATTGAGTCCGTTTCTTTCGCGAGAATCATCTCTTCAAATTGCCAGTTCTTTAGTTTTCTCCCATATGGATTACAGAAATAGTCTGCTCTGTGGTTTGCCAGCAACTACTCTTCAACCTCTCCAACGAATTCAAAATTTTACTGCAAAGCTAATTCTTGGTGTTAATTACGGCCATAGCTCGACTGGTGCTCTGAAAGAACTTCATATATTGCCAGTTGAAGTCCGATGCCAATTCAAGCTACTGGTACTGGTGTATAAGTGTCTCCACAACCTTGCCCCTGTCTACCTTTCTGAATTATTGCAGTCCCAAACTTCATCATGCAATATGAGATCGTCATCAAAAAACATTTATACCCAAGACAAAAAGTAAAACATTTGCAGACAGATCGTTCAGTGTGCTAGGACCGCAGCTCTGGAATACATTTCCAGAAAGTGTGAAACAATGTCAAACTGTAACGGATTTTAAAAAGAAACTCAAAACATATTTTTTTCGTAAAGCATTTCTTTAACGTTTGTGTAAGACTTTGTGAAGCGCCATTGAATGCATGGCAGTAATGTGCACTATATCAAATGTAATATGTTATGTTATGTTATGTTATTACATCGTTTCTTCACAGACAGTTGAGTTGATGATAATGTAACAATAAAGAACTTTTTTCATTGGATCTTATTATTTCATTACAAATTTTGAATGTAAATACATGTAACATTTTGTTTTATATTTTGAAATATTGTATATATTATGGAAAATTGTGATAATTGTTTATTAATTTTGAAATATCTAGACTGTGATTTGGTTTTAATTCATGCATATGTAACGTAATCATTATTGATTAAACTTTGTGAAATAATTAGATCAGTTTTTTACGCCCACATTTTGATGTGGACGTATATTGTTGTCGTCCCTGTCTGTCTGTCCGTCCACTATTTGTTTTTGGGTGGACACGCTACAGGTCACAATTTTAATATAGGTTTATTGTCCAAAGATGTCTGTTTCTTTCGATATTGACATGTATCGGACTGTAACTTTATGGATTATGGCCCCTGATTGTACAAAAAATCACGTTTTTAGCTTGTGGACACTCCAGAGGTCACAAGTCTTATCCGATTTTGATGAAACTTAAAACGTATGTTTACAACCCAAACATCTCGGTTTCTTTCGAAACTATTCAAATATATCATGGTTACACCCTAATGATGGTTGAATTCGAATTTCGTGAAAATGGACGCTCCTTGTGAGATAATAGTGGAAAAGTATGTAATGTTTTAAAGAGGTCACAGTTTTTATCCGATATTGATGAAACTTAAATAATATGTTTATATCCAAAGGATCTCTGTTCCAGTAGATATTCACATATATCGAACCATAGCTTCCTGAATTATGTCCCCTGATTGTACAAAAAACACGTTTTTAGCTTGTGGACCCTCTTTAGGTCATAAAGACGCTCTAAAGGCTAAAGTTATAATCCAATTGACTTATACAAGAGGGGGGTTGGATGGCCGAATGGTTAGCATGTGCCCGCTGTATCAGAAAGCCTGTCATTGAGTCAACTGGGGTGGTTTCGAATCCCCGGTCGTACGTGACAAGGAGTAGAGTCGCCTGTCCAACCTTGTTGGTTTTCTTCGGGTCCTCCGATTTCCCCCCACTGCTAATGACCCCTATGCGCAAGTGAATTATTGAAATAAAATTAAACCATGTTAGTCCCGAAATGACCTAGTTTGTGTCGAGTGGACGTTTAACCCCATTTCTCTCTCTCTCTCTCTTATACAAGATGTAAGTGTTATGGCCATCAGACGAAAAAAACCCATTGATTTTCAGTGACTACCAATAATTACTGGCAGAGTTATAGCCCTCACTGACATTGAAACATATTGTGGACTCTCTACAGGCTAATTACTTTATTACTTATTAATAGGTTGTTTCTTTTGATCAGCTTTTGTGTCATTTTGATGTTTCCACCTGCAAAACAACAAATATGACCCATACGGACTTCTCCGAAGACAAAGGTGCTGTGGGCGCATGTTTAGTTGCCAGTCAACCTATCTTTTGATAAACTTGAGACAAGTTTGCAATCAGCATGAGGCAATTAGCTACAATTAAATGTATAGTTAAACACACAGTTTAACGCTACAATTGATATAGTAATTCTATCACAATAGTGAAGACTGGACCACTAAAGTAGTTACTTTGTGGTAATGCGATCTACATTTTCAAAGCGGTGTTTCTTATAATTCGAAAGCCGCCATGACACCGGCCAGATGAAATAAGTTCGGTAGGCGAAAAATTACTCGTAGCAGTTTGGTTTCATATCATATAATTATGCGGTAAGGCTTCACCTTTATTTCAATGGGAATTGGTTTATTATATGTTAAGCTATGTACAGTACAGTTTTGGGCCAGTTTATGTATAAATTAAGGGAGCTGTAGGTCAGTAACCTTTTTGTAGTCATTTGACTAAAAAACTTACGCAAAGGAACTCCGCAGGACGAGCTACTACTGTGGCTGGAGTAAGGCGGAAGACATCAGTAGTGGAACCATCTCTACCCAACCAGTAGCCTAGTGGGTTTTCGTCGGGTTCTCCATATTGACTGACTGAGATACACATAACTACCGGTAACATCGATCGCACAAAAAGGTTACGGAATATGCGTTGGGAGGATTACAAAATGAAATGCGGTTTTACGTCCTACTTTTCTGCACCAACTGCAGGTGATACTGAAGACGAGCATACGACATGCATTGTGCTATGTGGGAAATTTTATCCGGATATCAAATCACACGGCCTACTCTTTTTCAACTACTCAACTGTCAATCAAGGGTTCTTTTACTTGATTACCAACGTGTAAGGCTAGACACTGTCTGCATCACTGACAAGTGGAAACCGCGATTGGAAATCCCAAGAAACTTCCTCGGCCAGCACCTAGATCGGATACCCTGATTAATGAACCAGCGTCTTACACCGTGGCTCGTTGGGAGGATTACGTCTCCTCACCCACAAACGTATAAATGCATAATTATATGACGGATTTATCATGTTCTTTGGCGTGAATGTGTGTGAATTTCACAAAATGGTATATCTATACTTACACAATTCGAGAGTCGGCCGTCGTAACCCTAAAATACCGTGCACAAATGCATGTAATACGCATTTAGGGTGTGTGCCGATTACAAAATTGCCATGTTAAACGCGTAAGGTGTGTGGGGATAATATAATTGCCATAATATATTAACTGGCTGCTACAGTTATCTTGTTTGGTGTAAGTTTTCCATACCGATCGATCTGTTATTCCCCAAAAAACCCAAATCATGGGCGCAAATATATGTACTACACATAGGACGTGTGGCGATTGAATATTACTTGCCTGCCACAATTACTTTAATTTGTGTGAATTTTCCATACCGATCCATCTGTACTTGACATATTACTATATTAATGTCGGCCATAGTAATCCTGATAATAATAATAATGATATCGTTTATTTGTAAAGCGCGTTAATACAGAACAAAAACAGTTTCTAAGGCGCTGTTGGTTATATTCACTGATTATTTACAGATCAGGGTTTTGAAACAAGAATGTTTTGAGTTGAGATTTAAAATGGCCCACAGAGGGTAATTGTTTCATTGACTGTGGTAGTCATTCCAAAGAAAAGGGCTAGTATAAGAAAGGGTACGTTTTCCAAGTTGTAAGTTAATAGCTGGAGATTTTAGAATATGTTTTTTCTGAGAACGAAGATTTCTGCTGGTGGTATAGGGTTCTACAAGACTTTTTATATGAGATGGAGCTTGGCCGTTTAACGCTTTGCAGATAAAGAGGAGTAAATTGAACTTAATTCTTTGCTGAATTGGGAACCAATATAGAGATTGCAATACCGTGGAGATGTGTTGCTATTTCTAGTTTTAGTGAGGCACCGAGCTGCTGAATTTTGAACATGACGTAGTTTGTTAATCTGATAGTCTGGTAAGCCGTATAGTAAACCATTTTGGTAACCTAGTTTAGTTGAGATGTATGCGTGAATGAGTTCTCCTTTATTTTCATAAATGGGATAGCGTTGGATCTTTCAAATTCGATGTATATGATAGAAGGTGGTGGAGCAAATACTTTGTATGTGATCGTTCAACGATTGGTTCGAGTCTAATACAGCACCAATATTTCGAGAGTTATAGAATCCTGTTGGATTTCTTTAATAATGGTTTAACAATGGCTTTTCCATTAAATATTAATGTCTGTTACAATTATTTTAATTTGTGTAAATTTTCCATATCGATCAATCTGTACATGACATATACTAAGCAGCAAACGAAACGTCGGGTTGGTATGTTAATCTGAATAGACGCATTGCATAAAATATGTCAAATGTTTTTATTATTTGTGACCACATCTCCAACCTTACCTGAGCAATAAGGCTCCTTCTCAAACACGGAATTGAACCCAGGAAATATTCTCAAAAACGCAACCTGACTTCTGAGATGGTAATGTGTTGTCCATGATTTTCAAGTAACTCATGCTGCACGTGCTGTTCACCGGGACCAGTCCTATAAAATGCACCCCATACCTGGTTGAATCATTCACACTACAACGTCAGCAGCATGCCACGACTCACGACAGCTCAGAGGGACCAGGCGCTTGGAAGACTCGACGCTCGCCACACTGCCCAAGCCGTTGCCAATCACTTACAGGTCAATGTTCGGACCATCTACAGGCTTCAGCAACGCTTTCGAGTCACCAACACCACGGATGATCGCCCTCCGAACTGGTAGACCACGGGTTACAAGGCCTAAAGACTGCCATGTTCTGCGACAGCAATTGTAGAATCCCTTCACACAGGCATCTGAGACAGCACGTCAGACAGTGGGAACACACGGAAGACCCATTAGTACCGATACAGTGCGCCGACGTCTTAACAGAGAGAACATCCATTGCCGTAGACCTTACCGTGGACCGATCCCCATCCAACGCCATCGACGTGAACGTCTACAGTTTACCCAACAACACCAGAACTGGTGAGACAGACAGTGGAGAACGATTTTTTTTAACAGATAAGAGTAGGTATTGCTATCAACTGCGGATGGCAGGACAAGAATACGCCGTTGAGGTGGCCAGTGTTATTCTGACCAATGTGTCATGTGTCATGCTTTGATCCATTTAGTAAGTCGTTTTCTAGAATGATTTAATTAAAGTGCCTCTCTGATTTTGAAATCGTGCCGACATTTATCAAATTGCCATTGAATATTAATTGTCTGCTACAATTATTTTAATTTATGTGAATTTTTCATATCTATTTTCCTTCAAAATAGCAAGTTTTCTCAATTTATGAAGAATTACAACAAGAAATATAATATCGACATCCTTTTATTAATCAATCAATAAATTATAGCTGATAAAATGAACAAATTATTCACACCATAATTGATAAAATGACAATAAACTATCTACAATATAGTTAACAAAATAAAATCGCCAATAAATCAATCACACTATAGTTGATAAAATAAACAATATATTAATTTCACTACAGTTGTTAAAATGAGCAAAATAAATTATTTTCACTTTAGTTGATAAAATGAGCAAATCATTATTCACAGTATAATCAATAAAATGAGAAATAAATTATTCACACTATAGTTCATATGAACAATAAGTTATTTTAACTAATGAGCAATACGCCATGTACACTATAGTTGATTAAATGAAAAAATTATACATACAGTCAATAAGCTGATAAACACTTCATAACACTGAATAAACTATGTATCAATGCACTCAATATGTTTATAACCCTTTATCAATACAGTCAATATTGTGATCAACAAAATTTAACAATACACTTGATACACT